TATACATAAAATATAAAAATGGTTACTACAACAAGCCAACAAGGGTTCTTAATGGATGGGGACAAACTAAAGTATCTACCTAATGTAAACACATAAGTAACTGAATACTTAAAACCATAGTGAGAAAATGCTTACATATTATAAGTTTAACTCGATGTCTAATGTCAATTATGAAGGGATGAGTTTATTGTATTACAATGTAAAAATATAGTCAACAACGTATGGGAAATACAAAAAATGTAATTATATAACACAAATATTTGCCAGCCTGTACTGTGATATATATTATGGTTGATTGTAATTTACAATAGATTTTGTTGCTGATGTCATAAATTATTACTTTTAAAATAAATTATTAACATTTTTAATCTGCAACTGATCTATTTGGCATACATTTGTGAATTGTGTAATATTATTGAAATAACAGTAAATGTTTGGTAATATGTTTGCGGTAGAAAACGATATTCAACAAAAATTAATGAATATTACTACGACATGAATAATCTAAATAGTATTGTTCAAAAATAGTTTTGTCTGAATTAATTTTATGCGATTTTCATCCTTAACTCGTAATCAAATATGCATTTCATTGGGTGATGGTTTTGATTTGTGTATTTTTATACCTATATATGTATTACCTATATCTTTTTAAATATTTGTAAGTATAAGGTTTAAATTGTATTATTATGATAGTAATATTTTCTGTACGTATTCTAACAATAGGAAATAAACCTTTAATATTCGTTTATTTTATTATAATAATAAAATAAACTGAAACAGTTGTAAGATAAACAGAATAATGCATAACCAACTTTAATATAAATTTAACATTTTTACTTAGATCTGTTTCTTATAACTATTAAATAGTGATATTCGTCATCAGTAGGTAATTAAATATGAAACAAATTATAATTTTATAAATTTAATTAATGAAAGTTAGAGTACATCAAAAGCATATCGGAGTAAAGAGATTAAAGCCTTTAGTGAAGTTAATCTTTATAAACCATATTATTATTAGTATCCGGGTATCAAAATAGTTAATAAGGCACAGTGACTAATATACTTTATCAAAAGAAACCATTTATCACTGATAAACTAAGTCATTTGGTAGAATATGAAGAAAACTTGTACCTAACTCCTGAATCCATAAGACATTTACGGAAGTTTAATCCTTTCAAGTAGACGTAATAATTTTATTTTTTGTTCCCAGTTTTATACGTTTTGTGGAGCTTTMATTTTAAAATATTGTCTCATAATATTAAGAATATTAAAAATCTGATGAATAATAACTTATAAGTAAATAGGTACCTAATACAAATTAAGTAAGCTGAAATCAAAATATTTTCATAGTGTATTCATTAAGTGGTATTTAAAGTTATTGCAATAGTTATGAACAAAATATATAATTGAGACTTTTTTTTCAAATTGAAACGACAAATATTTCAAGTGATTGATTCATACTCAAATAACCTCTGTGGACCTGATATACCAGATTATATGTAAGCATACAATTTTTACAAATGATAATTTATAATTATTTAGAATAGTATTTTTACATATTCTGTGGATATTGAGCACACATATTTTTTATATGATTATATTTGATTATTGGTTTTTAAAACGATTTTACTGACAACAATTATAATTTATATTACATAACTAATTAAATAACTTGAGTAGTATGTCAAGTAAAATTTTGTAGTAATCAGTACTCGCAGAATTGGGGGAAAACGTAAGTGAGTAACCCTTTTAGTTTATTTCGTAAGTCAAAACGGAGGTAGCTTGTATTTTAATTAAGTCGGGAAAGTCGATGTGGCTTGCGTCTTCGTATCCATTTGAACATTAATATATTATTTTTTAATTTCTTGATAAAACTTCTAATAATTTTTGTTGTTCTTTTACTCAATAAAAACCAAGGTAATATTATTTGAAATGGCATTATATTGATGACAACAACTAATAAGTTATAATGAGCTATCCTGCCATCGATTTTGGTAGTCAAAACTATTAACATAATCGCCGGTAATGTTTTGCCTTGATTTTGAAACATTTGTACTTTATTGTTATTATTTCATTTTTGTTTGCAAAATGCATCTGAACTTTATATTACTAATTAGAAATAATTTATGATACAGCGTTATTAGTTCGTTTCAATAATAAAAGTTAGGTTTTTTTGTATTTAATATAATTTGAAGAATGCCCCTTCGATCCGAACTCAGCAGGTTACAAGTAACCTATACACGTAGGGTTCCTTCATTCAAAATTCAAATGTTCCCTTTACTAATGGTAGGAAAAGGGGGGGCTTGTTACAAAATGAGCTTCTTTAATTCACGTTGCTATGGTTTTTTGTTTTTTTCACAGCTCAAAGGTTTCAAATATGACTCTGAATTAAAACTTTGCAGACTAACGGTTTCGGCTTTTGTCTAGAGTGTATACCGAGGTAATTAAACTATACTACACTGTTATGCGATGCATGCAAGCGAATAACATATTTTTTTATTTGCTATTGCGGTCTCCCGCCTCGGTGTACCTATTACGTCCTACGAGAATCGAATAATCTTGTATTATCGTCCATAACTGCAGCAAAAAAACGCTGAACGTTTTTATGATGTGTAGGTACCGTAGCTACGTGTGAATATTGATTTATGTACCCATGAGGTTGGAGATCCGAGGCTCAGCCCCTTATATTATTATGTCCACATAGTTCATCCCTTGATCAGAAAAAAATTAATAAAATAGGACATACTATTTAATATTTTCCTATACTTGCGTTGTTGTGATAAAACGTGAGCATGTGTCGATTTTCACGAAAAAAGGAACACACATTTTTGGAATAGTGCAGAATTGTGGGTTATCGATGTCTGATGTATATAAATAAATTCAAACTTAAAAAAAATAATTAGACCACTTCAGGAAAAATTAATTCGACCGTCGGCTGTTAAGTTGAATAATTTACAATTTAGAATGCGTTATGCGTGTGAAAGGGTATATTGCTTAAGTCATGAAATCACGTGGTGATGAAAAAGAAAATGAGGTCACTCGGGGCTGGAATCGGGCCAGATACCGTTGTCAAAAACCTCTCGCTGTGACAGACTTCCTATTAATTAACACGTTATAGGTATTATGACATATATAGAGGCATTAGATGATCTATGTGGTGATTACCCTGGTTCCGGATGTGATGACTAGAACGATAATTCTACAGACAATAGACACAAAAACGTAATTTTAATGTTATGCTCTTATCATAGAGTTGACGATGTAAACAAATGAAACATTGATTAGCGATGAAGAGTTATAATTGAGTTATCATCACAAATCGTTTATTTATCGTCCGTTTATTTTTCAATGACGAACTGTTTTGAGTTCCCACTAAAAATAATTTGTTTATTTTATTTTAATAATTGTTAAATTCTAACATAGCTTAATCAATTTGGTTTATTTATTGCAAAAAATAAAATAAAATAATAATGGTTTGAAAATTTCTAAGATTTCTCAAGGATTTTCAATTTTTTATATAGCACATAAAATGAATTACTTATAATACTATTTGTTTAAAACAAAACTATTTCATTACAAATATTGTACGTATACTTCAATTAAACCATTTAAACCTTGTTATTGTTTAATTGTAATGTTTAAGTTTTATTTCTACATTTAGTAGTTACCCTTAGTAAATAATTTGAATTTTATTCAAATTCACAATAGACAAATAATTTCAATGTAAATTATTTATTGATCTTTGTTAAATATAATCCCACGCAATTATTTATAAATCAGAAATCTAATCTAAGACGATTAAAACTTTCTCGTAAATGACTGAAATTGTTTAATCTTAATTTAATATTGTTTAATTCTAATAATGTTAGTGATAAATATTAAATATTATAAAAGTTGATTCATTTTAACACAAAACAGTCATTATTTCAGTAAAACTTACATTTTGAAAAATATTTCTTTTAAATCATTTTAAGTTGTTAAAAATTTATCTTAAAATTTGTCTACAAATGCATGTATATTGTATATATATTTACTATTTTTTACTGTCATTATTTTTTAAATGTTCGTATAACAAAATATATACTGACGTTGAGTAGGCAAGTGCATAAGTGTATAATGTTTAAAAATATTATATATTGTATTAAATAATATACAAATGCCAAAAACCATAGCACACCACTCACTTACTTACTCACTGATCACTATACATATCAAAAACTAAAAAACATATGAACTTGAAATTTGGATTCCTCTAATGATCTTAAATCTAGATGTGCAATAAGAGAGGATTTTTGATATTGGCATTATCCTTAAAGATCACGCTTTAAAAACATTAAAAAGTAAAATATATTTTGGCCATTTTGATTTTTTTATTATACTTAAGCTAGGGCAAGCATATGAAATAATCTATTTTTTTTTATCCTGGGATTTAAAAGCCACGTCAGTTATTTATAACAGTCAAGACTTGAAAGTCTTGTAAGTCATTTACGTATTTTTTTTACATACAAACAATGTAAACAACAATAGCAACAGTTAAAATAATTTTTTATTTCATTTAAATATTTTATTAAATAGCATAAAATTTAAACATTTTTTTCTAAAGTTAATGTATAGGTATTGCAAAAACTATTACTATTCGTCAATAGCGTACTAAATTCTATGTATAAAAGTATAATGTAGTATAAAAAGTATAAGACAAGAAGAGAATGATGTAAATTGGATAAATTAGAATGTACAAAATTACCACTTAGTGTACCTATTTGCAGAATTGTATAATAATATACAATAATATAATAATAAAACATATATACCTTCGTTTTAATAAAAAAAAAAAAATATATATATATATATACATACCAATGGGGTATGGTGAATAAATTAAATTATCCTGAATGACTGTAGAAAGATAATAAAAACTTTTTTGTTTATTTTAACTTCAGAAGTTAATCATTATATTTAAAGTAWACAATAATTAGGTAGTATATATATATATTATATATAATACATATCTAATATAAATATTATTGTTATTGATAAACTTAATACTTCGTTGAAAACTTAAGACTAAGCAAGTATAGGTATGCATTATACATAAAGTTTTTCTTGGGTACCCACCCCGTTGTACCTACAGAAAATAATAGGGATGATCCGTATATAGTCTGATTTGAGTGTTTTAAACATTTTCTCTCCTTGAGCGAACGGATTTTACATAGATAATAAGTGGGTAAAACAAAATAATGGTGCATTCAATGTTGCAATGTACTTTCGTGGTTAAATTAGGCAGGTGCCATTGTTGTCTACGGGTTTATTGAGATCATTATAATAATAATGCCGAAAGTATGCAATTCGGATACTTAAGGCTGTGTACAGGTATGCAACGTGTATTATGGTTGTTTTATATAAATAATATAAGAAAAATGATTATGCTCACTGTCGCCGTATAAATAACGATGTTTTGTAATTTTATGAATTTCTTAATTATTTTTGTTCAAAATTAGATCGAGTTTACTGATATAAAATGAAAAATTATTCGATGAAATGTATGGTTTCGATGTAGCTATGTATTATTAATTTTTTTGTTATCATATAACATTTTTATCATCTTTAATATATAATAACGCTGTGAGTTTGGGACGACTGTACTTTTTCTTCGCTATATGTAGATGCCATTCAATGTTTCCTCTTTGGTCATCATCCGAAAAACTACCTACTAACACCACGAGACGTCCCGCAAATAACATTATTTCGACGCGTATAATATATAAGTGTATAGTTATACGGATTTCAAGAACCTCACGAAAGTTAAAAAAAATAAATCACGTCAACGTATAGTATTATGCACACTTCGAATAGGTATAGTGTTAGAGAAAATCATTATAAAAATTTTTTTTTTTTAAACAAGACTCACTGCAGTGATTTACGGCGATACGGCGTATTTCGGCGTATAATAACTAAAAAACGATGTATAAAACGTAAGTCTCATGTCATCGTCTCAATCGTTTGAAGTCCAAAATTCTATACGGACGAAACCATAAAATGTGGCCGACGGCAATCGTTATTATAATATTATTATCATTAATTAACGTACACACACACAAAATATTATAAAATTTAATTTTAAGCGAGTGCTCGACGCACCTCTGCTGCTGACAGTCGTAGAGTGATTGAGTGGTGGGAGAAGGCATGACCCAACATCCGGTCAGATCCGCTCGTAGTTCGGGCGGCGGGTCTTGTCGATGCGCCAAACGTACGACTCGAAGTCCGTCTGGATCTGCAGGAACGACTTGCCCTTAGTCTCGGGCACGCAGAAGTAGCAGAACAAGCCGCCGAAGAAGGTGATCACCGCGTACCCAATGAAGTTGGCTTGCTTGCCGTACGCGTCCGTCACCGGCTGGTAGATCTTCAGCATGATGGTGGACGTGAACGTGATGGTGAACACCACCGCTGAGTTTGCCAGGCCACGGGTGTCCGACGGGAAGTATTCGCACTGGACGACGGACAGCACGGGCATGAGCCCGATGTTGATGAAGAATTCGGCGCCGCACACACTGGCCAACAGCAGCCATCCGTCCAGGGTGGCCGTGGACTGGACACCGACGTTGCCGCTTTCGCTTCGCGACAACAGCGCGGCTATGAACACGTGACACAGAGTGGTGCCCACACACGATGCCATGAACAGCGGTCGCCGGCCGTACTTATCCACAGTGAGCGCAAACGGCACGCACGCCACCACTATGAACAGGCCAAATATCACGGCGCTGGCGTTCGGCGACAGCCCTGTGCCGTACAGCACGGACGATGCATATGCTTCCATCACGCTCGCTCCGCACGCCATCTGCAGGGCGGCCAACGTGAGCACGATGATCAGCGGCGCCCGATCCCTGTGTAGCAGGTCCGTCAGTTGTCCCTTGCACCTGCAGCACAAAAACGAACCGGTTGAATGGGTACAAAATAACACGTCGTAACTATATTATAATATACCTACTAATTATTGCACAAGTCGCAAACTCAAAATATCTACCAGTTTTTCAAATTGTGAGTGTCGAGCAAACGAAAAAAAAAATTAAGTGATAGTTTGATAATGTATAATAATAACTTATTATTAAGTATAGGTAAAAATATTGTTTTTTTTCTTTTAATTTAAAATCAATATAATATACGAGCATATGGGTATAGAATGTAGATGCATCGTAGCTTAGATTTAATGACAATATTGTTGATTGTTTAAAAATTAATTTTTTTCCAAATAATAAAAAAAAAGTTTCTATGTAGGTACTACGTGAATCGATTACAATGATCAATATGGTTTCTATGATTATTTATATATTTGTATAGGTAGGTACTGTATATAATATGTCCATATCTGTTAAATTGAATGAACAAATGATAAGACAATAAACGAATAATCATAATTGTACCTACCACTCACTGATTGGCGATTGCTTTTAATAAATTATCATACTATTTACGGATTAAAACTCGTTTTTCGACAAACATGTAGGTTCCTACAACCAAACTGAAATATTATTTGAATGGGAGTTGGTGGGGTTATAATAAATTATTTTAAGGTGGGTGGCAAACGGCAGAGTCGTCGCGGTCAACTGCAATAATAAGTATTATAATACCTACCGGACAATTAATATTCGGGTATAGTCGCGGGTAACGTCAGTCTTAGGTTTAGTTTGACAGTCTATAGTCGCGGTACCTATGCACTCAGACGTGAAATTATTTTCGAAATAAACCTGATCGCGAGCATGCAGTAATATATTATTATGGTTATTATTTGTTAATTACTACACTGCTACAAGACATTACTTTTCTTCGGTGACGGATAGTCTGACGATCTCAAGCTCTTCCTTGAACTCTTCGTCGCTACAATTCCTCAGCTTCCTCAACGACCGGGCAGCCTCTTCCGGTTCTCCGACCATCATGAGGTAGTACGGCGATTCCGGTATGAACACCATCAGCACGCCCGTGACGACCGGTATGATGGCGCCGACGATGGCCAGAGTCTCGTAGTTGGCGAGCCACCCGACCACGTAAGACAGCAGCAGACCGGAAGCGTAAGTCAACTCGACCACCAAGGCTAACGATCCCCGGACGGATATGCTGGCCATCTCACCCACGTACGACGGAGACACGATCAACGAGATTGCCATCGCGCTGCCGTGCAAAAATCGGGCAACGTACAAGTGCCAAGGCTGTACACACACATAACGTCAAGTAAACGATTATGATTATTGTGACGCCGATAGGTTAACACAGGGGCGCAACCAGGGTGGTGGGACTCCCTCGAAATATTTTTAAAATTCAAATTTCAAAGTGATGACCCCCCCCCCTTGAAAATAGATTCTAGTTGCGCCACTGGGCATAGGCGAATCTACAGGGTGTGCCCTGGCACTCCCTGCGACTCGTATACACCTGTGTAGGCCGTAGGGCACATAATACTCATTTCAGTTACAATGGTATTGAGTAATGAGTCTAAACATTAAACAATTTGTTTTTAATTTTAATACATTTTTATG